TATAGTCCGATTCGGTTCATATTTAGAACGTATATTAACTACATGAAAAGAAATAACTACACTAAGAACTATGCCGACAGGTGGCGGACGAGTCGATATATTTGGTAAACCAGTATTTATGATCCGATTTCGTTCATATTAAGAAAGCTTGCTTTAAAACTATTTGTTTTTACAATTAACTTATTTAGTTACTTACGTTTTTTCTCAAATAAAACTTGATTTTTGAATTCGTAATTTCTATTTAAATTGAATTAATTATATTAATTTTCACCTTTTTTTACACCTCAGATGTAAGGAATCTGAGCATGCATAACACTTAAATGACATTTAATTACTGTATTCTTACAGTTTCGAGCGTTTTCATTGATCCCAGAAAATTGTATGTACCTCAAAAGGAAAGAACTCATTTTGTTACGTGTAATACCTATGGGAAAACTAAATGCTTGACGCGGGACCTCTTACAATTGTCGTAGAGAGGGGAGATTCATGGAGGATCATAACTGTACTAAATACTAAAATTTGAGAAATATGCCGGTTGCATTGCGGGATTTTTTTGTTTATTTGACTTGGTCTAATACACATACATATATAAATATGTACATGTGTGTACGTATTCATAAATCTATACTTACCCTGCTGGAAATGTATCTAACTATATACTAACTTTAAGTTGATTACGAAGGAGCTAAAAGTATATCTGTATATTTTATTTGAAGAAAACTAACTATGTTTCTATGGCGATGGCCGCGAAATAGTCAAGGGTGGTTTACCTCTGCATTAGATGTAGTCAAGGGTGGTCACTTCTGCATTTGATGTAACTTACTTGTAACTAACTAGTTTTGGACATAAAATATCAATAGAAAAAACAAAATATTTTTATTTATTTATTTTTTTAATTTTTTTTATTTACTTTATTTATTATATTACATTTCATATTTGTTTCCATATTCTGCTGTAGGTGGTCCCATATTCGAACTCCGCCAGACATAACTTCAAAATGATAATATGAAATTTCAATCTTCCTTTTATTTGTCCTCATTTCGAAAAAGTATTTGCGAAGTGCAGGATATTTAAATAGAAACGCGTTTAAAGAAAACAATCTCGAGCTTTACTCCTGCATTACTTGTCCACTTGTTTCAAGTTAGCTTTTTGTAGCTAACTGCAAGTTATATATTTTATAGAAATCCAACTACAAGTAGGTTATTTTTATCATCTATAGATTAATATTTAGAACTTACATTTGTCCTCGAATAGTTTATTTGTATGTATATATCCGCGCGTGTGCTGTGATTTTTAAATCAAAATTCAGCACGACGTGGAATAAATTCACTTCCGAATGTCATTAAATTGTTTTCCGATATCATCTTATTTCCTTTTCGTAAAAAGCACATACCATTACGAAATAAATTTACAAATACCTACATATGTACATATATATATACGTACATAAATGTGGCTTATACGAGTATATGTAAGTACGCATGTGTATACAGAGGTGGCTGGCATCTTCGTTTTGAAATATGTATTTACTTGATGTAAGATGATATACGGACGAAGAAGGTTTGTACATATTATTTGCGGCTTTTATATTTGGCTACCCAATTTCGTGTATTTTTCTTTTCTCTATTTTTTTGTTTAGTAACGATGTCTGTACTAAAATTGTGTGCGAAAAATATGAATTTATTGATTCTGATTGAGATTTATGAGTATCCTTTTTTGCATGATAATAGTAAATAGCTCTGTAGGAATCTCGTTTTATAAACCAAATATATTCATGCCAAAAATTTTACAAATTCCATAGATATAGTGAAGGGATTCTTATGAAAGCAATTATTCCCTTGCGAACCAACATTGGTTCAACAAATTAAAAATAAATGTTTAGAATATTTTTATCTTACTTAATATTTTTACACACACACTTGGTCTTAATGTATGAAAGTCATAAATTGTTGTCAGTGGAACTTTAACTACACAAGAATCTTTTCATACTGACTGAAATTAAATAATAACTCAACTTTATCCAGAGAATTTTTTAAAAGCAGTTTAACATATTACGCCTTTAAGACATTACGGCGTTACACCAGCTTGTTAATCCACTAATTATGAAAGAAATTGGAGCTTCATTTATAAATGGTATTTAGTTTTATCTTTTTTACTTCACCATTCGTCTTAGGTTTTGGATTTGAATTTTCCATACAAACCCAGGCCAGCTCTCAAGAAAAGCAAAAACTCGATATAAAATGACGTATAAGAAATGGTTAGGAAATTTTCTTGAGTCAAATTTCCATACGGTAGTACGCAGTTCTTAAGAAATTTGCTACGATTTCTACTACAGGTTGCTTAAGTTTTTTGTTAAAAAAGAGTACAAGGCAACCCATGTTTGGAACAGAAATATATGCCCGTTCCATTATTTCTTGAGGAAAGAGTGAGGCAACAGGCTGTAATGGCCGTGAAGTATCAGATGTCAAAATTCCTAGGACACACACAAGAAATAATGTCAATTTTTTATTTACCGTTTTCTTGAGAGCTACATACTGGCCCTAAAATTAAACAAAACTAATAATAACTCCCCATAATCGGGGTGACCCATTTCACCGTAGAAAAATTGCAAGTTTTGAAATGACACAAGAAAACGCCGTAGATTACGGATATGTATACCGTTTTTCTGGGTCAGCTCATTTTCCCAAGATATGTGCAATTGTTTGAAAAAAATTCAAATTTTAGCATGCAAAAATTCAAAGTAAAATTTTTTGGAAAAATTTGTTCTTTTGCAAAAAAATCAAGATACTAACGATGAAAATCGGTTGATAAATAAACAAGCTGTGATGGTCAAATGAAAATGTGCAACAATTTTTCGTATGAAATAGGGGCAGGAAATAATGTTGCTCATACGCCATGTCGCACACAGCCGTACTCGCACATATTTACATACTCGTACATGGCGTATGAGTAACATTTTCCATGGTAAATTTTGCATTTTTTGTCACTCGCAATGCAAACTTCAAATGAAGATATCTTGGAAAGGTTACCTATTCTAGAAAGATGGCATACAGATCCGTAATCTACGCTCCAAAATTAAGTTTACGTGTCTCGACGTTTTTTGTGTCATCCTAGCGCCCCTACAGTGTTATACAAAGAATATGAAATCTGAATTTTTTTTCTAAAAATCACATTTGCCATACATTTCATTTGGTCGTGGACAGAGGTGGAGGTGGGGGTACTAAATTTTCAATGTACCCTAATAGCTAGTGATTGTGATAGTCAAATTGTCTACTACTTCTATTGATGTTGGTGGTGAATTTCAAAATATCAGCATCACTTTACAATAGGGATAGTGACATATACAATTTTTACACTAATATTAACATTCGAATAGTGAAAGACTTTTTTTAGCCCAGGGGAACATTGCTAACCGTTACGGATCCTTGGTTCAACTTGAGGATGTTGTTGCAAGTGGTGTCTTGGTTGTAAGAAATATCAAAAAAAATTAGATTTTTTTTACAAGTTTTACAACTCGTTGCAACGCTGTCATGGTGAAAATATTCTGACAGCTTATATGCAGTGATAGTTAAAATTTTGCACTCTAAGGTGTATTGTTAATTTCTTTACTACCACTAAATTAGTCGTAGTGAAATAAAATAGCCCTATCACTTAAGTTTTTAGTGCTATACGCTGATGAAATTATTCGCTACATATCACTCATAAATCAGCTCAACCATCTTTTTTCTTAAATCAGCGTCGCAGGTTTGATAATTTTAAACAACCTTGTGTTACTTATTTATAAAATTTGGTACTTTTTTCAGTTTGGTAACTTTTTCGATTCGGTGTTACATGTTTTACATGTACATTAATATATGGTACATACGAGTAAATACAACAAAGTCGTATTTACACATGCAGATACATATCCTGCCTTATCCTAAGTTTCGGCCGAAAAAAACAAAATTCACCCGAAAATATAATATCCTCCCATAATGAACACATGAAAACCAAAAGTAAAAAGTAAACCGATTCGGGAAAATGAAACTCATGATAAGGCTGATCGTGTAAGAGCCCTGTAAGTAGAGTAGATCACCCCTTGACATAGCTCAATGCAGGCTTATTCTGATTCCATATTAGAAAGTGGCCCATAAAGTCTTCAAATGGAGGATATTTCATTTCAATTTAAAGTTAAGAGAAATTATGTGCGTTGCCCATTATAAATAAGCCGGTAGTTTCACTGGCCCAAAAGTTCTTCCAGCGCACACTGTGCAGCTTCATAGGGGCGATGCTTTAAATTCATTTTTCAAATGCTCGGTACGGGGAAAAAAATATGTGAGCAGATTCATCACAAAGTACCACAACTCGTGTATAAATATTGGTTCAAAGTTTTAAGCAAATTGCTTAATTGCGGTCAATTTAAAGCGAGTCCATGTAAGTTATTAAAATAGGTTTTATATTGTTTAAGGATAATATGTAAAGATCTGCACATGAAAAAAACCGGGCAATTTCGTATTGAATTTGGCAAAATTTTTTTGGTGATTTTGATAAAAAATAAAAGCGTACTGTATGATTTATGTAAATGCATTCGTATTGTTAAAAACATTCCTAACAAATAAGACTTCTTCAATTGGGGATAGCTGGATGATTTCTTTCAACTCAGCTGATGTAAGGATCAATTGTTTGTGTCTTCGATTGCATCTAAATTAGCAACGCTACATACATAAATGTGGCGTTAATCGCAGCCAAAGGTATATTGTTTTTATAGGTGCTCTGCTAGTAATTCAAATTTATATAATTAAATTTGAATGTTTTTAAATTGTAAAATAAGTATAATAGAGCAATTCACTTAAACGCGTAAACGCCTCGTAACCATATAAACCTCGTAAACTTACTTCATTTTCTGTAGAAAATCGGTTTATTTACGAGGTTTACGCAGTTACGAGGCATTTACGCGTATCCATGAATGAATTTTAAATTCTGAAATTAAATAATTTTTTTATTTTTCTGTTCTTTTATAGACTGCTGTCGTATCCAACGAGTATCGTATCCAGTCGCCAGCCTCCGGCTCGCCGCTCCCGCTATGCAACACCGCCACCACTACCAATGCTGACGGCACTATCGCAGTACTACAGAACAACTCGAATGCAGTCAATATTAATTCGACTGCAGGCGGACCCAACACTGTACTCCGCGTCATTGTCGAATCGTTGCTCTATCCGGTGTCGTTGGATATTTTACATCAAATTTTCCAACGTTTTGGCAAAGTGCTAAAAATTGTCACATTTACAAAAAATAATTCATTCCAGGTAAAATAAATAGATGAAAATATATGCGCAAATATGTACCATACATATGAACATGTACACATACATATGTACGATTACGTATGCATGATTAAATAAACACGGTTCATTTTATGTCGAATGACAAACAGCAACCACAGTGCGACAGCGCGCATAATTGATAAGAGTAGATATAAACACGCAAAGCACCATACACAGTGGCGGATTTAAATATTTGCCGCCCCTAGGCAATTCATAACTTGCCGCCCTTTTTTCACGAAAAAAAAATATATATATATATATCAAATATGATTGTTATTGTCAGTGCTTTATTACAATATAGTTCGTTAATAATGAAATACATAACGGAATTAACAAATTCGACATCAGCATGGATAAGGTATTCAACAAAAACCCTCTTTCAAACACTTCTTTTTCACAGTTCTTTACGTCTTGATTTTTCAGCTGCGAATTCGCGGATAATATCTTCACAATCGATAGATAGAAACAAATCTGACTCTATAGTCAGCAACGCAAGAGCATTCAGTTTGTTTTCGCTCAATGAAGATCTGAGATAGTTTTTC